TTTTAGGATTGATTTTAAATTGTTGATGTTTGTCTGTAAGGCTGTACATGGTCTGGCACCTTCATATATTTCTGAGCTTGTGCGTTTTTATACTCCAGAAAGGACACTTAGGTCTTCGAACCCGTTGAGCCTGGAAGTGCCGAAGTCCAGACGGAAACATTGGGGAGACCGAGCTTTTTCAGTTCGGGCTCCTATACTGTGGAATGGTCTGCCACGGGAGATTAGCTCTGCTCAGAACCTGGCTGTTTTTAGATCACTTCTTAAAACATATTTGTGTTCACTGGCTTTTATCAATTTTACTGATTGATGTATTTGTTTTGACTATGTATTTTTCTTATTTTATTGTCTAGATGTGTTTTATCTGGTCTTAGGTATCTTTATTATTATTATTTGTTTATGTTTTACTGGAAAGCACCTTGTAACAGGTTTAGAAAGGTGCTATATAAATAAACTTTGCTTGCTTGCCTCAGAACTGTGCATGAACTGTGCACAAGCTGTTAATTTCTGACTGAAGCTGCAGTTTCCCACAGAATTGCAGCGGTAGCTCAGGGGGTGAGGGGTGCCATGCTTAAAAAAAATGATGTGTATAATAATATTATAGTGCAGTTCATCTGACCTGTCCCTCCTGCACTAGCCCTCCCACAGCAGCAGTGTGTCGGCTGCTGCCCTCCTCCTACATCTCTCACTTCCTGACCCTCTGCTTCAGCAGCACTGGTTGGAACCAATGAATATCTCAGTTGGATCACTCTTCATACTGATCAGTGTTTCCCCGTGTGTTTTTTGACATCCCCCTGGACTGAGGTAGCAAACGTTCAGCGTCACAGATCAGGAACTAGCATCAACTTTTGCACAACAGTCCGTACACATCCATGCTATTCACAGCGTGCTGACCTCAGCAGCAGCTGTATTCTAACGTTAGCCTAGCTAGCCTTACTAGCTTGCTAATAACTTATTAGAAGAGTTGGAGCTCTGCTATTGACAGCGTTATATTATAGAAACAAACACAGAGATGGAGCTGTCTAGAGAGAAACAGAGCAGTACACGGAGGGACAGTGAATACATGCGCTACGCATGGCCCTGCGCTGAAATGAGATTTAACCTATTTTAAATTAATATGTGGCGGTTAGTGTTGTGGTGGTCCGCCTCAAACAAATCACTGTGAGCTATGTGTGACCTCCTCCTTTCCCCAAACTGAACATAAAAATATGCTAATCTCACTCCCACACTCCGCCATGCCGGCCGCTGCTCTCGTTCTGTTATGTACTGATATCGCGAGACAGCTTTCACCTCGACGAGAAATAGCTTCACGTTTTAATATCGCGCTGTCTTGTCGCATCCCTATTCATCACTAAGAGCTACTGCACCTCCTGTTTCATCTGAAAATGACATTCAGTAGGAGCATTGCTGCAAGCAGTGGCCATCCCAGTCTTTCAGACTTACCTCAAATCGTCCAACGGAGGCTGTAGTCTGGCTGGTCTGCATGACCTCTGTCAGAGCCCACATTTGCTGGATACTGGATGATACAGTCTGGGGGTCTGGGAGGCCCTGTGAGACATGCAGGAGGACAGATGTCAGGCAGAGGGCACCACAGTGTACAGCAGCAAATCCTCTTGTTCACACACAGGCTGTAACCAGGACTTTAACCATGCTGAAGTTAAATATTTAAACTGACACAAAATGTAAAGTGTGTTTAGATTAGTCATTGCTTTTAACATTTATTCTTGGTAAATCTAATTTCCCAACATTAAGGTTTCTGTTCTGTGAAAACCTTCTTTTCTGCTTTGAGACGATGCATTTTCTAAAAAGCAGGGGAATAATAGTAATAGTAATTAATATAATCTATACTAATAATTATCAGGTATTTTATTAGAAAGGATTATAAAAAACATTAAATCACCAAATCTGGACACATATGGTTTTCACTAGGTAGAGATCTTGCACACTCCCAGAAACAGAACTGTTGTGGGGAAATAATGAATCATTTCTTTATTTCTTGGCCCAGAATTATTCACATCTAAATGTCTTGGATATGAAATTTATTGGACTCAGCTTATAAAACCTCCAGCAAAGCAGAGAGTAAACTCCCTCAGACTCCCGGAGGACGTCTGTAATGGTAACCACTCACAAACAACACAACATGTGTACCTCCAGATCAGGGTGTTGGTCAACCAGGGTCAGGTCTGACAGCCAATCAGAAACCTCCTTCTCTGGCTCCTGGAGGGAACAATAGTAAATGTCATTTAAACTGGGCAGTTCAGTCTGATGTTGCCATCACCATGCTGTGGTAACGCAGTTCGATTTGACATGTACCGTAGTGTTGACAGGTCCTTACTTTTATATTCTGTGCTATACTCTTCTTTATTTTGTCTATTTGGATTTTACTGTGTTTCTGTGAGAGAACACCTAACTCTGCAGCTCCCACCAGCTCTGTGGAGCTGTAGTGTCTTTCAGCTCATCGTTGTAGTTTTATGTCCTTCACCTTTGAGGTTTTGTTTCAGTCTCATCAGTGCTGTTTCAGTTGCAGCTGTTAGTAGAGGAGACGCTCTACACAGCCACTGTCGACGACCTGCTCAGCAAACAGTAGGCAGACACAGTCAGAGACCAGCGGGTGAACATAGTGCAGCATTTAGCTGCTACCGAGCCAGAGGTTTCCCTCAGAAAGTGGTGGAGACCAAACACAGAGCTAACAGAGAGGGAGCACTGGGCTGAGCTAAATGTATAAATACTGCAGTAAGTGTTGGCTTACAAATTCACCACAGAAACTGCAGCGTCCTGTTTTGAAGCTGGTGGTCTGAAACACTTTCACTTAGGTGGTACCAAACTGGTTAGCACAGCACTGGTGTGGCTGTGTTATGACTATTCAGCTGACAGGGTGACAACTGACTGACTGTATTACTACAGACATGAAACAGCCACTGCGTTTGATATACACAGGCAGAACTGGCAAAGTCACAAGCATAATTACACTAAGAATGAAACAGTCCTTAGAATATTACGCTGCTGCTGTGTAGACTCTACCTCCACATTCAGTAATCTTCTGCCTGTGCATCTCACTGAGCCTGTGTTTAAGGTTAGTTTACTGTTATTATATAAACCTCTGTCAAAAAAGCAAACCAAACTAACCGGCTCTAGGTGAGGGTATATTCTGATCTCTTCGAGGCTGAAGGTGAGCCAGGCAGAGGACGGTTGTCTCAGGATCAGTCGCACCAACACCACACAATCCGGCTCCACCAGCATCTGTATCAATAAGAACCAGAAGTGTTCAGTTGATGTAAACTGATCCTTTGAGCTGATCCCTCAAGCAGCTAAAGAAATAAATTGTGTGGCAGTATATTTAGGTCTTCATACAGAGAATTACTGCAGTGATACTGTAGAATATACATTCAACATTCCTTAGGGTTAAATACAACAAACATTATCTTTACAGGACGACCATGAGTTTAAACTATTTCAGGCATGGAGCACCATCACTAGGATTCACTGTCTGGCTCCATTTGCAAAGAGAATACGCTAGAAATAAAAAAAAAATAGGAAAGATCAGTTAGTGTTGTCTGCATACTGTATATCAACAGTACAATGCTCATCATCCCAGCTGAAACTCACTGTGTCAAATCACTGCATGTTTTATTTATTGAACACTGAGCAACACCGGATACCAGCAGGCCGTCCTTACTAAATGAGTCATAACCCCAGAATTATAACATCATAATTATCATGTTATATAACTATAAAAAATAACAGTAATAGAGCAGCAAGACTCATTTCTGTTCACTGCTCTCAGCTCCAGTCCACAGTGGAACAAAGTGGGTCCATGTGTCGAAGCCCTCAAGCAAAACACTGCACCATAAGTTCTCCCAGTGGTTCAGTTAGCATCTTGCATAACACAGTATTTCTCCTAAGAAGTCCATTCTCAGTGTACAAGCAGGATTAAAGTTTCATACTGGACCACCATTTGCTGGTAGGCCAGCTGTGATGAAAGTCCTGCTGTTGTGTTCACCTATTAAACTTTAATTTAAAGTGAGCAGGGAGAAACTTTCCCCTTTGAGCAGAGGGTTGTGAAAACACACTCTGTACGTATGTCATTCTGCACCGTGAGGCCAGCAACACCAGCACATATTCAACAGGAGTGTGTTCCTCAGAGCTCAGTTTATTACTGGCCTTTTCATACTAAGTTGGAAAATTCAAACTAGCAGTGTCACAGTCTGGAGCCCAGAAACTAAGGACACGACACCCTGCATGCATCTGGTTATCAAGCCCTAGTTTCAGCGTGCGCACACAACCCTGCCTACTTGTGTCCTGTGAATGGAGTAGTAGTCCTGGGAGCCCCCCTCGGTGTGGGGGTTGTCCATCAGACGCAGATCTCTCAGAGCAGTGCACCACTTAGCGGGGGCCTCCTGCCCGGGGCTCCTCCTCAACAAACGCACAGTCACATAGGCTGTGTAGTAGTTCTTAAAGGTGATTTCTTCAATCTGAAAGACACACAGTGAGCCTGGACTACAAACAATATACACGCTAGGGACAGAAATAAATACAGGCCCCACCCATCATCCGGCTAATATCTGAGGATGTCATCTGACTTACATGAGCAGACATAAATTTACACTCATTACAAATATAGGTCCTGGCACATAACCGTTTTAACATTAAGCGCTGCTCAAGGTTTGTTGGGTTCTTCCTCTATTATTGTGATAGTAAGGTCTAGAACTTACTGTGTAAAGTGTCGTGAGACGACTTTTGCTGTGATTTGGTGCTACATAAATAAAACTGAACTGAACTGAATTAAAGCCTAATGACAATGCCCCCTGAGACGCCTGGTAGAGCCTTGTCCTTCATGCATAAACTTGCTCCAGCAGATGCTTTTGAAGCTTGAAGCTTTGAGCTAATGAGGAGTGACTCTGCATTAAAATGTTTTTAATTAGGACTAAATGCCAAAAAGTAGGTCAATGCCCAAAATGTTTGAAGCCTCTCACAAGACCAGACTACTGCTTCATATTTAAACAAATGTTTTCTATGCAAGTGTGTGGTTTTTCTGCTTAATTAGACGGCGTGGCAGGAGACACCACAACATATGGATGCTGAATAAAATTAAGGCAGAGGGAAAACAGTGTTTGGATTTTACTGTAACTGCTTTGGTTGGAGGAATCCAAACTCCGGAGAGATTAGACACGATGAGCCGTGCATTGT